AGTTTTCTTTCCCATGCACCAGACATCCATTCTTCCCTGAAAGAAATCTTACATCTTCAACCTCTCATCCTACACACCAAAATCACCCAAAAGTTACCATCTTCTTCATATTTTCTACACTTCCAACATTGCAGAACAATTCCCAGATTTGTAGAGTATCATGGCTAGGAGATAGCATACTACAATTTTAGCTTCTAAGTGATTTTTCTTGAGTATCAGAGGATCAAGCTACAAGGTTAGCATTAGAAACGAGATCAAGCACTCCATTCACAGGCTCCCCAAGCGGTCATCCTTCTTTCTCCCATCACCACTTTCAAGTTTATTCCCTTTGTTCTTGAAAGAGCTTCAAGGGAGGGATTGTTGTATTTTCTATTTACAATATGAGGGTTGCTCGTTATAGAGTGAGGATAGTTACTAGAGATAATAGAGGGCACATTGATTGTCATTAGTATTATGTCACAATATTTTATGTATAAATGTGCTTCTTAAGTTGTAACCCTTGACCCTTTTGTGTTTCCTACCCTTGCTGCTCCTACAACAATGTACATCTTCTTTTCATCATTTTTTATAGTTGTGTAATCATCGTTAGTTCTTGAAACTCTGTCATCATTGCCCAATTCTCTTAGCTTGGCTAGAACATTTGTACTTTCAAACTCTGCTAGAGAGTTTGCTATTGGACATCATCATTAGACAGAATGAGATGGCTCATAGTGCATAGCCTTTTGCATGTGAAACGGGTGCCATCAAAAGGACCCTCCTCATTTCTTTTTACGATGGCATCTTACACTACTAGAAAAATGACGTATACAGACCGACCATATACGGACCGAATAGTGTCGGTCCGAAAAAATAAATATTCGAACCAATATCGGTCTGAATATATTCAGGTGGGAGAAAATATACTAATGAACATATTCGGACCGTTATCGGTCCGTATATTTCTGGCGGGAATCCACAGTATAGACACGCCAATAATATTCGGACTGTTTTCGGTTCGAATATTATTTCTAAAAAAAATAAATATTAAATACCAAAAAATATGAATAAAATATTATTTAAATAAATATATACGGACTGGCTTCGGTCTGTATATATCCATTGCAGAATACGAAATTTCATTTTTATATTCGGACCGATTTTGATCCATATATTTATTATTTTTCGTGAAAAATAAAGATTAAATGACAAAAATTAGGAATGAATTATTATTTTTAATGAAAATATACGGATCGAGATCGGTCTGGATAAGGGAATCTCTGAATTGATTGGACGCTGGGTCCCACTGACAGTTTTTTCGGACCGTGATCGATCTGGATAAGGCTGCACACAACCTTCTTCCCTTCGTTTCGCCCGTCCCCTCCATTCTGCGATTTCTCCACAATTTTCCTCTGTTTTTTCTGTCTTTTTTCTTCCTCTCCACTGCAAGCTTCTCCTCCAATCT